GGTAAACTAATCTGGCTACTGTCATTTACGTAAACCAGAAAAAAATTCGAAAGAAAAAACCTTAAATGTAGCGATTTTTAACTGCAACAGCTGTGCCCCTTTTTGCATGCTACCTGCTAGAGTGAATGCAGTTGCCACTGTATGTTGCACTTTGCTACTCAAACGTATCAGTTGGATGGATGGCAAGCCATTTAGGCAGTCAGTCAGCCGGGGCTAGCGGCTCAGTCAGTCTGCGGAGGCTGAGTGCCCATTAAAATTACAGCAGCACTAGGGGCATGATTATGTGTGTGTTACGTATGTACTTATGCACATACATACATATTTACAAATGTACATACATTAATGTATTGTATATGCTATGTGGCAGAGTGGGCACTGGTATCTCGTATCACAGCGACCGCCATGCTCGTGATCATGCCTCAATGGCATTTTGCTAGATGAGGCGAATCTCTCTTCTGTCACCTTGTTCTCTACACCGTCTACCTGAGTGACTGGATTGCTGGCTGTCCAGTTGTCAGCCACTTTAAACTGCGCCACAAACCCACTATTTGCCACATTTTGTTGCTGTCTGTTAAAACTATTTTCTTGCTTAACTAAGTTTTTCTGTCGGGATTTGGTTTATGAGTGTGTGTATGTGTTCTGTATGTGCCGCAGGAATTATAGCCTGCCTGTAAACTTGATTTCCGACAGGCCCACTGTACTTGTCAGTCAATTTGACAAATACGCAATTAGAATGCGGAACTGGATCAGGAATCTTGTTGCACGCTGAAAACTAATAAGAGAAAGAGAAAAAGAGGTAGAGGGTGTGCACAGGAAATTTGTAAAAAAGTGGTTTGAGTAGTTGGGGTCACTGATGGAAAATTTATATTAGATAAATACTTTTTCGAAACAAGGTTTTTTTTTTATATATTTTACCTCACATATTTTATAGGCATATACATCTATATATTATACTCGTATATAAACGAAATCTTGACAATTAATACTTTATATTTATACATATGCGAGTATAACAAAAAGAATAAAACAAAATGAAAAATATTCCACGAAGAGCTTTAACTTATGTTGCCTTTGTTTTAAATATCCACCGACAGCAATAAACAACAACAAAATTGTGGTTAACAGACCTGTACAACGACCTTTGATTTTGTAGACTAGGCTGCAATCGCTGAAAAAGTTATTATATATATATATTTTTTTTTTCTAAACAATTTTTTTTTAAGAAAACTTTTTCAAATATATTTACCGAAGGAAACGTCGTAGGTCCTATAAAATATATGCACTCATATATAAATGAACAGCGTGACGAGCTGAGTGGATTTGGCCATGTGCATCTGTCAGTATGTACGGCCATCGGTATATGTGTATATACTTGAACTAGTTCTTCAGTTTAGAGATATCGATCAGAAAGTTTATACACATTCTTTTCTTCCCAAGAAGAATTGTTAATTTGTTGAAGCTGTCGATATCGGACCACTATAGCGTCCATACAAACTGACCGATTAGAATTAAGTCTTTTTATATCGAAAACTCGAAGCCAATGCTAAATCTCCCGATTTTCCTTCGATTCCTTATATATGTATTTGTACATATGTTGATATAAGTTTGCGAAAAAAAGACGAAGTCTTCTAAATAAAACTAAGAACCCTGTAGTTCAGTACACGCGACTAACGTCACTGCGAACTTTTGTCTTTAATTCTGTACAACTGATTCCACACTATTTTTAGTCATCTCATGTACATTACATATGTAGGTTTGTTATATGGATGTATTTTATGTGTGTGTCTTTCTGCAAGCTTTGCTTTGAGCTGACTCAACATAAAACTAGCGTAAGCTTATGTTTACCTTTGTGTATCGTCTGCCAGAACACAAAGTCAACGCTGAAAATTAATGTTGAAAGGAAGTTGTAAACGCCAGCAAGCGAATGAAAGGTAAAGTGGAAGAGACTAAAAACCAAAGCACAAGCAAATTAAAAAAAAAAGCCGGACAGCATTAAATCCAATTTAAGTACGGAAAACCAGAATATATACGTGAACATACATATGTATGTGTATGCGACGTCCAAGAAAAAATATATAATAAAATAAAATTTAAAATGCAGCAAAAATTTCAACATCAAAAAAAATAATAAAAACAAGACTCCAGCATAAAAACGTCGTCACATGTGTTTTTATAGCTTATATACATACATTTTTGCTGTTTTGCTTTTAATTTTTTCACTTTTTGCAGACCGAAACATTACGGTGATGAATTGTATATGAGTGTAATGACAAAAATTTTGCTGTTAGTTTTGAGTATCCCCCTCTTCAATACGCTACTTAACTTTAGCACTTTTGGCCACACAAAATCTTATAGTTGGTTATATGTCTGTCCATAAACTATGAAGACTTTTTTAGCTTAACGCAATATATACGAGTATATACATTTTGTGGTATTAGACGCATCGAAAAAAACTAGTTTGATCCAAAATAGAACTAATACTCATAGATTGAGGAAAACTATCCAATTCTGTAAGTTTACTAATATAAATTCTTTACCTCCTCCTTTACTCTTTTATTACCACTAGAAGCTATCAAAAACACATTCAAAACTCCATTCGTCTGGCGAATAAGCAAATTTATGAAATGACATTTTGACACAAAATGGTGGTGGGCGCGACGATGGTTCCAGGAACTCGTGCAACCTGAAACAAAATAAAAACGTGATCTTAATTAACGTCAGACTTGCAAGCGTTTTGGATGTTTTTTTGAAAAAACAGTGTTAAATTTCTACCAAAACTTGGCAGTAAGTGGTTTGTAAAAAAGTTTCAAGTGAATAAGTGCAATAATATTCAAATATCATCCTTGCGCGATTTAGAATAATTGACTGATCTGAACGCTAAGTAGAAAATTATTTTCACTATTCTAATAACTGAATTAGGTCTTTAGTAAAAAAATAAATTTTGAAATCCACACTGGCTTAACTTCTAAAACAGTATCACTTCTGAAAATATTACGAAATTACAAAAGAATAATTGGAATAAAATAAAATAGGATATGGATCTATAAAACAACCACTTTTAATTCCACAGAAAATGTATGTTTCACAATTAATCAGAAGAATAGTGCGCAGTTATTCTCTCAGAGTTCTATCATTTTTTAACCTGCATTATCAATACATATTATCAATGGAGAAAAATCATAATACATATATATTTCAACTATCATTAAACATTGCTTACTTGCATAATATAATATTATGCATACAAATAAAATAATTTAAGCTTTTCGTTTATTTCCAAATATTTAACGGGTGCATTGAAATCCAAAACTTTTGTTTAGCTTTTGTATTAAAGCGCCAAAGTCGAACCAAACCACAGTTATGGTGTCTAGTTTCATATAAACGTTTCATGTTTATTGTCTTTTTATCGTATATACAAATAATTCGTATATACGAAAGCAATACAATTGCATTTACTGTGGTACTACAGGGCGTATGAGTGACATGCGGGCGAACACATTTTCGATTGTGTGAATGCTAGAGGTAAACAAAGACATTTAGAACATTTAATTACAAATATTATATTTATATCATGTTACATTATTTGTTTGACCGTTATACAAAGTGTAATTCAAAAGTTTCAGGACTTTTATTAAAAAACGAATATTATTTGTTTTTTGTTTTTTGAAAAATTTATTGATCGCCTTCAAAATAGTCTCCTTCCGCCTGAATACAACGTTTTGCACGTTCAAGAAGGTTATCGAATGACTTTTTTAGGTCATTTGTCGGTATAGCGTTGAGGATGACGGTCGTCGCCTTTTGGATGGCATCAACGTCAGCATAGCGGTTTCCTTTCATGGCCAAATGTAGTTTTCCGAACAAATAAAAACCGCAGGGTGCCATATCAGGCGAATAGGGTGAATGGTTGATGATATGAATGCGATTTTTGGTCAAATTGAATGTTGGATTCTGAGGTCTTTTTCGTGTTGTTTCAAAGTGTACGCGACAAATCGAACACAAACCTTTCTGAGGCCCAAATTTTCTGTCAAAATACGATAATTCGACGATGCGGATATTGATAATTCCGATTCCATATATTTAAGCGATGATTTCGGCTTTTTTTTAATGAATTCACGCACAATTTCTGTGTTTTTTTCGTTCAAAACATCTTTTGGCCGGCCCGAACGTTCGTCGTCTTCCAAGTCCTCCCGTCCCTCTTGAAAACGTTTAAACCACTCGTAAATACGGCTACGGGATAGACAATCATCGCCATAAACTTGTTTCATCATTTGATGAGTTTTGGTAAAAGTTTTACCAAGTTTAAAACAAAACTTAATGTTGGCTCTTTGGTCGATGCTCATTTTCCGACCGACACTACAAATGTAATGTTACATGTAGGGCGATATCTAAGCTGTTATACAAGTCAGCTGTTATATAAATTTTATACGACAACACTGAAGAATACACAATTGAGGGATAACAATTTCAGACAGATGGCGCCACTAGAATTATTTTATTTGTGCCTCGAAATATTTTCTGTAGTACTTATGAGAAAGTTTTATAAAAATATATTAACAGTATAAATATAAAAAGATATCACTGGCAATATTTTATAATGGTTATAGTTTTTTGTTGACATGTCATATTATATTTTATTATACCTTATTTTGCTAATTATATTTGTTCTGTATTATTTTTTTTTAATACTTATTTTATAATTTTTCTTCCTTCCGACTTTTTCAATTTTTTTTATATGTTTGTATATGATATACTATAATATAATTTTTAAAATACAATTTTTATAGACTTAATTATTTTTCTTATAATTTATATTTGGCTGAAAATAAATTTATTTTATTATTTATAACAATTAATGATTATAAAATAATTTTCTTAAAGGTATTTAAATAAAATTTTTGTTTAAAAAAAATTTTTTTTTGTGCAACCTTATTTTTTGTTATGCTGAAATTCTACTTCATACCATATTAAATTAATTAATTTCCATCATCTTTCTTTCTCAGATGCATGTGTCCAGGCGGCTATACTGGCAAAAATTGCGAATCCAAGTACATTCCGTGTGCGCCATCGCCGTGTCAGAATGGCGGCACCTGTCGTCAATCGAATGGTCTAATGTACGAGTGCAAGTGCCCATCTGGTGAGTGCCTTTTGAATTAACTAACATACGTTTATATAAGCCTACATACCTATATTATGTGGCATCTACGCATTTCGTTGCACGCTGCAACCCTCACAGCATGTATACTTGTATTGTAACAACACGCATATTTTTCATATAATTGCCACAATTAATATGATGCTATTGCATTAAATTAAGCCATGCAACATGAAAGCGCGCATGCAACGGCTTGGCAGGTCGACAGCTCACCTAAGTGGCAATGCGAGTTGCACAATTTTAAGCGACTAATTGCCGCTAATCTCCGCCTCAAAAGTGCCACTGCGCGGTGAGGCAGGCAAAAACTAGGTGCATTTAATGTTAATGCATATATGTCTGTATATATATATGAATATGTTTATGTTTGTAGTCTATGTTTATTTTTAGTAGAAAAAAGCTAAGCTGACGCGTAGCAGGCAAATTGCCAAGTTCGTTGTTATTTGTTCCGTAAGTGTTGTTGTTGGTGCTAGCTACATTTGTTGCAGGCTTTTGTTGGCATATCAAAACCACCCATCCACGAGCGATTAGTTGCATTGTTCCCCACTACATACATGTATAACCCCCATCCTCTTCCCCTCCACCACCTTTTTTTATGCGTATTTTAATTGAGATAACGCCAACCAACCAGCCGCGTTGGTGCATCAGTGCTGATGGTGGCCGCACCAACAATTCGTCGCCTGATTTCTGTTACCTTCAGCGACTTCTGGTTTAACGGCTTTAGCGCTGGTGTTCCTTACAACAAACGCTTAAGCAAGCAATAGTACTTAGGCAATCAAAACATTATGCACCTGGCCGTTAAGTTACTGGCCGCCGTGGTTGCCACGACGAGTCATCGTAACTTGTGCTAAATAGAATTTACAATGTTCAAACCAGTTTTAAAATAAATTTTCTCATTTTTTTCGCTCTCTGCGAGCATACCATAGAATGGCATTTTACTTAATATCTGGCAATTTACTTAATATATTGTACATGCAACAATAATTCGACGAGTTGACGAGATAGTTGGGTTTAATTGCTCACAATGTTGTTAGATAATTCTGCTTATGCTGGAATGGATGTTTTCGAAATGACGGTAATATTTTATCTTCGAAGATGTACGATCAAATTTATTCCGATTTAGTGTACATCAGTAGCTCATAGTCAAGGGCATATTTTTTTATTTTCTTCAAGTACCCTCTTTTCTGTGGTTGTAGCGGCATTTTTGAGAAATGCTACCGAGTTGACGGTCCTCGTCAAGTGTAAGAACCGCCTCAAAATCACCGAAATTATATAGCAGTACAACAAACTCGTTTCTCCAATTACATCTCTTGACACCTTATAGAACGGCATAGTAATGTAAATCCATTATACATACATTAAATTTAAGATTTTATTAAACACAGTTAGAATGATCCGCTTAATATGCAATATTTTAATCGATAATTTGTTGTAGTTTTGAAGAATATTTTATAATGCCAATCTTACAGAAATCCGCGGCCCTATTAGCAATAAACTGAGATAATCGATTTGTACAAACTTCTTTTGAGGCGAGCTCTACAAAATAATTCGTCATAGATAGGAACAGGTACTAAACACTTGGTGTCCGCATAAGAACTTCCCAAACAAGCTTCAGGTTCTTCTATTGAATCCCTATTGATGTGCGTAGCCTCCCGTTGTCCTATTGAAACACAATTTCTATCCCATTGGCCATAGCTGACGGGTTCTAGGCGATTTTTTTTTAGACGGTCCAATTGTTGACAATACAGGTTCGAATTAAGAACTCGGTCGAGGAGGAGCAGCTCGAAGTAGGTGATTCACTTCCAATTCCACCAAACATACAGCAAAACCTTTCCGAACGTCAATTCTGATTTGGCCCCCGTTTGCGTCGGCTCATCGCTATTCAACGACGACCATTTCCACTTGACGTTGTCATAAGTGACCTTCGTTTTATTACCAGTAATCATCCGATTCAGATATGGATCGATTTTGTTGCGATTCAGCAGCGATTCGCAGATGGATATTCGGTCCATGAGGTTTGTATATCGATATATGAATTTCGCCAAATATATCAAAATATTAATCTCTCGTGAATCTCGTAATTTATTTGGAACATTTTAAGCTACTAACTCCTATTTTAATTAATTTTCCATTTTCGACGAAAGTGTTACAACTTTAACCCCACAAACTCAGACCTCTAGATCTACAGCAAATTGTTGTTCGACTAAACATTGACTTAGCAGCATTTATTTCTTTGTCAAACACTCACTATCTAATCTTTAATATTTATGCTGGCTAATCATCCACAGCATATCTTAACATCTTACAATTATTGCGATTACAATTATCATTATCGTTGCGCCACTTCAATTACTTAATTGTCAGCATCCTTTTGAGTGGCAGCCAGAAGCGCCATCAATTAACTACAATACTTACTAAATAATTGCGCAATGGAAGTGTGAAAATGTGACAGCACAGCATTGAAATAACTCACTAAACAGACATTAAATGAACTAAACAACAACAAACAGCATACACAAGTCACGCTTCACGCACTCACAAGCTACATATTATATAAATGAATGTATGTATGTCAGTATGCAACGAAATAATCGCCGTTTTCTTCACGCCAACCGACCATCTCACTTGCTATGGCAAGTAAATTCTGCAACTAATTGAGTTATTATTATAAATTGAATTTATATTAATAATTGCGTACACTTGAGAATTCTCAATGGTCAATATGCGTGAATGCTGATGACCAGTGGTTATTTAAACAATGTGTAACTGTCAACGGTACAATACAATACGATCGTAGCGCGCAGACTCAAGCCGCAAACATTGATCATTTCATATTTGTGGTCGAATATGGTGACCATGATCTCCAGACACTGGCGCGAAAGTCAAGTGGAATGAATTTTTTCAATTGAAAATGGAAGACAAATTGCTATTCGATACATGTATACATACTTACATACCTGTCTATACGTATATATAATATGTATATAGATTAAATGTATACAGACTTGTTTGACATTCACTTAGCCGCCAGTTGTCTGGCTAATGCGTTCAGTATGTATATCCGTCAGCTTCGTTCTGCTTGGCGTTTACAGCTTCGATTGGTATTACCCACATGATCTGTCCGATCTTACTTTATTTTTCCACCTCCATTTGCCATGCTTGCATTTGCCCCATTTGCTTGGTGGTTGATCAATAAATGCGCCGCTACTATTGAGCGCATTAAATGATTATTCAAGTAAAGGTGTGGCGGTTATAAATCCTGTTTTAGTGCGAATTAAGCGCTATTTTTATTGTAAATATAATCGCACGATCGCACGCCAATTGACTAGAGCACACGCGATCATGCCTCACCCTCGAACGAGTCGCCTTGAAGGCGAAGGGTGTACTCTGAGCTTTTCGAAACCATATAGCATATGTGTTTATATGTACATACAATATGTTATATACAACCATGTTTTATTTGCTTTAGTTTTTACGATTTAATGCGATTTGATTGATATTTATTAAATTACTGCCGATCCCGACAACTTGGAAGTGCATTAGATAATTTTGTAATAAAAAAATAGAAATGATTTTTATGGTTTAACTCGAAGGTGTTCTCTCATATCTTCGAAATCGACTGTCAAAGTTTCTTGCATATGGAAAATATATTATTTAAAGTGTTTAAAAAAACAAAACAAAAAAAAAACTATTAATAAAAAACATAAACGATAAGTTTTACAAAAAACAAATAAACAAAATATTTTACATGATATTCTTCAGCCCTCTAATGAAGGCTCTACAACTATGGTAGAATAAGAATTCCCGCTAAATTCACATTGAAGTTCAACTTTGCCTTCCATATCATCTCTTACACTGCAATAATCAAAATTACCCCAAATTAGCTAATAGTTTGCTTAAACAAGAAAAAAAAAATGATTACACCGAAAAGATATTTGCTTCCAAAAGTTTTTTCCTTCACATTCCAATTGCAAACACGATTACCCCACAAAGGTAGTAAATTAGTGTCTGCAGTAATGGCACAAATAATTCTATTCTAATCTCGAACTCGGTAAGGCCAAGTGCTGACAAAATTATAAACGTTCATATTAGAACGATTTGACGTTGAAGGAATGAGCGCGCCATCGTCAGCGTCCAACGACGACGACGGTATCATGCCATCATTTCTTGAGTCAATTTCAAAATGATTATTTTTGAACCCATTCAGTGACTCAATAGCACACAGCTGCAGCGCCGCGCAACGCCTCCCACAGGGCATTAGACAGTACGACCGCGCGACCACGCGAAATCGTGATGCACGCGCCAAGCTCAAGACTTTTAAACTCACCACTGCCGCCCAAAAAAACCAAGACCAAATACCACATCCGCACTAGTAGACTCCCGCATGCCGTTAAACCGCAAAGCTCTCAACAGCAGCATTCGGCTCGCACAATCAAGTGTCTTACTCTCCCACACTCTCTCAATCGGTTATCAGCATTGCCGTCTTTACATTTCACTCCGCATGTCTGAGTTGAGTGCCGTCATTTGTAGAAACTTGCTCGCCACATTTCAACAGCAACCGTATTAGGGCTATTAAGTGCTCATCTTTCTCACCTTGCGGCTCAGAAAGCCGCTGGTATGCCAATTTCATTTTTCCATACCATTTACAATTGTAATTCCAGCGATTTCTACAACTAAGCAAATACTATTGCTAATGTATAAGGACTACTATTGATCCCATTATCGTGTTTTTGTTGTAATTTTTCTAGTAAAATTATGACCTTACCCGAACCGATTAAATTTATTTAACTCAGAAGAATTTTTTAGCTTTAAAAAGTGCTTTTCGTAGAACACTTTCGCTAACAATAAGACAAAAACGCACGCGCCTACGAATGTAAGCTCGGCTTAGCCTTTTCTTTTCAGACGTTGTAGCAAAAATTATTTGGGGAATGTTTTCTGATGTTAAGAAAACATCAGGCTTTAAGGCAAGACTTCAAGTTACTGCT